ATAGGGAATATATAGGGATTCTATAGGGGCTACGTAGGGGTTCTGTAAGGATTCTATTGTAATTTCTCAGCCTCGTTGCAACTGAGCCTAAACCCTAAACCCCCCTACCAGCAAGCCCAGGATGCTTGCGCCAAGTCTGGGCGCTTGGGGGCTGCTCTTCACTTCGTCCGGCAGCTAGAATCTTGGGAGCCCTAGGGTTTAGGGTTTAGGGAAGCCCTAATGTAGTATTAGGGTTATATAGGACTATATAGGGTTATATTAGGGTCATGTAGGGTTATATAGGATGATTTATATTGGGGCGTATTATATTGGGGTTAGTTAGGGATAATGGAAAAGAACATGGAAACTACCATCTAGGGTTTAGGGTTTAGGGATGTAGACCCCTGATCAATACACACCCTCCCCTTAATAGGGATTCTTATAAGAATCCTAATAATCAGGCCCCTTAAAAGGAGGGGGTCTATTAATCAGGGGTCTATAGAATCTTGGTCATTGTCATTCACCTGACGCTATGCGTTGGGTACTGCCCCCAGTCATTAACAGTTGGATAACATTTAGACTATAATTGTATAGAGCCCTTAGTATGATCCTCATTTTAGACTGTTATTCGGTGGGGGCAGGACCCCAACTACTCCATGTCTGGACTTGCCCTTCAACCCTTGCTGAGGGCAGCCAAGAGTGGCGTTGCTACGGCATTCCTCTACCATGCGGCTGGGGCCCTTATCGCACAATTACTTACTGATTCTTAGTAGGGAATAAGGGAATAGAATCCTTGTATAATGCCTATATAATGTATTCCCTGATTCCCTACTAAGAACCAGTAAGCTTTCATTTATGCTTTGATGGTGCGCGGCCAAGGCCATTGATGCCTATGCCAAGCAGGGCTGTCTGGCAGACGCGGAGAAGCTTTTTGACGAGATGGAGGCTGGGTTTAGGGGGTTAGGGTCACGCACGTAGTTGAAGTATGTTGAAGTTGCCTCTCATCAAAACTAGAGGGCAATTGAATTAACATCGCTCGAATGAAGGCGTGAGGTAATACATCCCGGTAGCCTATGCAGAGTTATCTTCCCAAGATGGTCTACGCATATTTCCAATCAAGGCTCATGGGCATCGTGTTGTCCGAAAGAAAGGGCAGGTTTCAAAATTAGCTTCAAGGTCTATTCCGAATCCCTACATAGTCCCTAGATTTTTACAGCGGCCCCAAAACCTACCCTAGTTGTTACAAGCTATAAGAGCTTTAGATAGTCCCTCATTTCATTTAATTTCCATTTGGTTCTCCATTACGGGGAGTAATATCCCTTAACCCTAAACCCTAAGTAGTAGTGTCCATTTACTGTTATCTGTCACTTCCCCTACAATCTCCGTATAATAATCCCCAAATAATCGTTGTAGAACCCTTAGAGAGCTTCTATATAAGCCTTACATATTCCTTAGAACCTCCATATATAACAATAAACCCTATATAATGCCTGTATAACCCAACCCTAAACCCTA